CATATTATTTTCTGCAAGTTAACATTGTGATAACTTGCTTTGGTCGAAGAGGATTGGATGTGTCTCTAGTTCCTGTTAACTGGGCCAGAGAGGCTTTTTTAGTGCTTTGTGCAACAATTTTTTTGGTGGAAGTAGGGGGAGATCATGTGGGAGACCACTTTTATGCTGCTCTGACTTGAACTTCTATGTTAACCTAAAACTGGTACCTCTGAGCAGTGGTTTAAAACCAGTTGGTTTATGGTTGAGGTAAAACCCTCTTTTCACATGTGAACCTAGAGCTTTGTGCAGGCACCTAAGCAGCCCCTTAACATGACCTATAAAGGGGGACAAAAATTGTTTGTAATGTTCTCTGCTTTGAAGTACAAAATGGCCTGAAGGGGCCTTGTTTACTTGAATATAAGATGGCCCCCAATAATTAGATTTTATATGTGGAAAAAATTATAAATTAGTTACAATTTTTCAGGTATAGAATCTACTTATTGGAGGTTTACTTTGACTGTGCCCCCCTCCAACTGGTACAGCAGAGAAAATAAATGTGGGGAGTCAGGTGGCTCCCTTGGTCTCTGCCTCCCCCAGCTTCCTCTTTCTATAGCCCCTTTGCCCCCCATATTGTCAAACCCTTCTCTCTGAGTACATAGAAGTGAGGGGCAGGTTTGAAAACATTGACTTTGAAAACAGTAAATTGCATGTTCACTAAATTGCATATCTGTTTAATATCTTCAGTGACTTGTATGAGGATGTGGAAATCAGTGTCCAAATTCATGGCTGACACTAAATTTGGGGGCAAAGTAAACACTGGAGAGCGGGGGTGGGCAGCAAGGAAATAGGGTATATTCTGTGATTACCAGGGCTCCCCCTGGGGTTACTAGGAACAATGGCCATAAACTGATGGAGAGTAGACTTAGATTAGACATTAGGAAAAATTTCTTTATGGTGAGGGTTGCCAAAATCGGGCTTCCAAGGGAGGTGGTGCTCTCCAGTACCTGGGGGGTCTTTAAGAGGAGATTAGACAAGCACCTAGCTGGGTCATCTGACCCCAGTGCTCTTTCCTGCTCAGGGCAGGGGGATGGACTTGATGATCTACTGAGGGCCCTTCCAACCCTAAAAATCTATGCATGTAGGCAAATTATGGGTACCTGTAGACTTGGTTCATCTAGAATTGGTGTATTGCACTTTTTTTGAAATTGCTGCAAGTTTTAGCATAGGTACTCCATAAACATACATTTAAGCAGCACTTCTGTACCTACTTGTATATAGTACAAACTATGCATGATACTAGCCCAAAGCCAAAAGGCTCACAACTTACCTTATATTTAGTTTATTGGGCTGGGCCCTGGCAGAGTCAACAGTGTTTCAAGCCATAGTGATTCCACAGCTCAGCGCTGCTCAGTTACTTCAGATACATACCCCCCACAAAGAATCCATGTGTGGAACTGGGGTTCTTGTAATGGATCCTGGGATCCTCCAAACATTTCTGTGCAGATGAGGCACCGAGCAACCTGGTCTGGTTCCAGAAATCTCCCAGCAGGTTCCCACTGGCAGATGCTTGCCCCAGGAATCCCCCAGTTGGCATTTTATGGACACATGCATCTCATTGCTGCAGCTCAAGTTGGGGTGTACCTCTGTAGATGTGGGAGTCCCAGTTTCCTTACTTGCAGACCTGTGCCCTTGGAATTCCTTAGTAGGGGATTCCCTAGATGCCTATCATGCTTCTGTCCCCCAATTTGGGGTACACCTCTGCAAATGGGGGAATCTTGGGCAGGTTTTCCTGGGGCGTCAGGAAGCACACATTCCTAGGTTTTTCCCATCTGGCAGAACTGTGCCCTGAGTCATGGTGTGGCAGCAGGGTATGCACATCTGGGACATCCCTTGCTGGGGACAGGTGGTGTCTGTGTTACCCAGTGAAGCAGATCAGCTGTGCTGGGAAGTGCCCTGGCACAGCTGATTTGCTTCGCTGGGTGACATCTGTTCATAGCCTGTGGGTCTTGTGTCCAGATATACATACAGATGCTTACCCATCTTTCCCAGTGTAGATGCAGTTACATTGGTACAAAGGTACTTAATAATATTCCTCATTTCTGTATACAAACCTATGCTGTTCATGGGTGTCAATATAACTGGATAACTAGGCATAGAACCACTGTAATTATTTTTGAAGAAAAATCATTCCTAAATGAAATAATTGTACCCATACAAAAGCCATGTGTTCACCAAGCTGAGGGTAAAATACATTTTAAAAACACTTTGCCTATATATTTTAACATTTCAAAAGCCCATGGCATATAGGGCAAGCTGCACTTAATACGCTAGCCACTAAGGATAAGGGGGTCTTCTGTACCAATCGCATATGAAAATGTAACTTGCCTTGTTTACACTGGGCTTTTATAAGTGTGTTAGGCATGTTTTAAAAATATGTACTTTTATTTTAATCTGGTTCTGTTCAAGAAGTCTTTTAGGAAAATTGAGGAATCTTATTTCCATGTTTTAAAAAGATACATTTTTTAGGAAACAAAACAGAGGTTCCTGTTGTGGCATGTCATATAGAAACCAAAATGGAACAGGTTGATTTCTATTTTGCTTTTTCAGTTCTGGTCTGTTTTACGTTTTGGTGACAGTGCATTTAAGGGCTTTATTTATTAAAGTGAATATGAAGTACTTTTGTTCATTTTACATAACTACTTTAGGGCTAGTTGGAGGTAGTGATTTCCTTTCTCTCTGCTCCCTCCCCCAGTGTCTTAAATTCTCACTTTTTCACCTTGTTTACCTCTGTGGCAAGCAGTGGGGTTTACAAAAACCTCTGGTATAGCAAGATGACTACGTTTAATACTCGTGTTTTCTGAGAAGTATCTTGATGTAAAGATTTTGATAGGCCATAACATCTTTGAAATGTGACCTGTATACTCACTGGATTAAGTTGAAATTTAGTTTCTAGCATTTTACAGTAGACCCAAATTCAGATTAAGTAGTACAGTCAACCTGATGTCAAGTTCTCAGGGAAGCTGATAGTCTAGTTAAAGGTTTTGAAAAGGTTTATTTTGATATGGGGATTCACATTTCTTTCCTGGACATCTGCAAGTATAGTACATGCAGTAGAAACTTCTACATTTCTATCCTGTGAGATGCTGTATTTGTTGATCTGGAGCAGTTATGTTGTCAGAATTGAACTGCTGGCTCTTCAAATTTTTGAACAGCAAGGACTGTTAATAATATTTTTATATCTTTTTGTTTGCTTGTTTGTTTTAGACTTACCATCTCTCAGGTGTTGTTGGTTGCATTTATTATGTCCTAGAGTCTCTAGCAGACTGGGAACTGATCACAACTCCTGTTTGTTTGTATAAATATAATCACTGCGAATCATCTCTTTCCCAATAAAGTTTTGATCAGAAAAGAGAGGCTGGCATATTTCTACAAATTGAATTTAGGCCAGCAATTATAGACATGATGAATATATCCAATGCATGTATATAAGTTAAAACATGAAAAAAATCTTTCATAAATTTCCATGCAATTATAAGGGTGTTGGTTGTAACCTTCTTTGGATAATTTTGATATCTTTTATTAGACCAGCTAAAATAGTCAAAAAAATTATTTGCAAGCTTTTGGGTATAAGGACCCTTCTTCAGGTACAGGGAGCATAATGTAATTGCAATGGATTAGACTACTTTATTGGTTTTAATTGGAGAATTTACTTTTCAGCAAATGCATGGTCTAAATTGGCAGTTTGTCCCCAGTAGCTTTTAATAGAACTAAATTGGAGTTCCTAGGCAGGTCAAAATATGAGCTATTCTTAAATAGCGAATAAGGAAAATGAAAACTTGTATGGATTTATGGATTATAGTGATCCCATTCTTTAAATGTAAATGAAGTATTTACTGTACTGTGAGCACCTGTTGATTACATTAGTTTATGATGAAATTTAATACAGATGTACTGGAAATACTGTTTAAGTATGGAATTCATACAAATACATTTTAATACAACATTATTTAAATCCTTAGAAATGAAGCTTAAAGTTGAATGTTGTCTTTCTGTACGTCTCTGTGCCCAGTGACATTGTAAAAGTGTTTCTGTATTTAATAGTTTTTAGATGTAATGGTAAAAAGATTATTCTGATTATAGTTGTATAGTAATTTTTAAGAGGTAAAGTTATAAGTTAAGATTCTTACAGAAATATTACTATAGGTTGCTATGTAGCTTTGTTGTGCCTCTTAAATTAGTAGCTTAATATAGTTCAATTTTGTTTTCAGATTCATGTTACTATAGGTTTCCTAACTTTTTTTCTTAACTTCTACCAGAGCAGCCTCATCCTTACCTGGATGTGGTTAAACAAATTAATACTGTATAAATTGATTAAAATCAATGTTTCAACAAACCAAGAACAGCCCTCATATTTGGGGAGGAAAAGGACTACTTTTCTCCTAAAATGTATACTCCTGTTTTGTGGCGATCACAGATTTAAAAAAAAAGATCAAATCAGGAAAAGATAGGACATTTTGAAAAAGGTCTACTTAAAGGAAGAAACTTAAGGTATGGACAGGCAGAAAAACTATATTGAGGAGTGGGGGATAACTTGTCATCCATCAGTCTGATTCACTATAACTGAATGCTTGCTCTGTCTTAGTGAATGGAAACTGAACTGCAGTAATTTAGCAGCTGTTTCATTCAGGAGTAAAATGCTCTGGTTCAGCTTCTGTTTACTGTGGAACAGAGAAGACATACAAAACAGTTAAATGTGGTAAGATTCCTTTCCCCCTACCCCCACCCTCCATTCTCTTTTTAATTTGGCATGATTGTTTCATCTTTGTATAGCTTAATGTGTTTCTCAGGCTCCTCTGTGGTTAGTAGATACTGGATTCAGGGCTGCAACTTGCATATTTTCCCTTACTCTTTCATTCACCCTTTAAACATAGTGATGCTAATTGCATAAAGGCAGCTACATTTAGTAAAAAGAAATGCAACTTTTGAACCTGCATTAATTGAATCTTTGCTATTTTGATCAGGAGATCAGCAAAATCTCGCAGCAGAAGCCCTTACTCATCAAGGCACTCAAGGTCTCGGAGCAGGCACAGATTATCTAGATCCAGAAGTCGTCACTCAAGCATTTCTCCTAGTACACTGACTCTGAAAAGTAGCCTGGCTGCTGAATTGAACAAGAACAAAAAAGCTAGAGCTGCAGAGGCGGCCAAAGCCAGTGCAAAAGCATCAAACACCTCTACGCCTACTAAGGGGAATGCTGACACTGGTGCAAATGCGCCTCAAACAAACAATGTGAAGGATCTGAAGAAAATAAAAACTGAGCATACACCTTCTCCTACTATTGGTGCAACTTTGAAAAATGACAAGGCAAAAGCAAAGGTAACTCTTCAGGAGACAAAGGCAGAAAATAACTTGATTGTGGATAAAGTCACCAAGCAGAAAACTACGGCAGTGAAAGAGACTAAACCAACTGCTGTAAAACAGCAACCAGTCACTGTAAAAGAGAAAAGCAAACCGTCTACACCAAGTGTAGTAGCCAAGGAAAAGGACAGAAATGTTGCACTACCAACCTCCACATTG